AAGCATCTGACTTACCAGACTGAAGGATTTTGCTTTCCTCCCTTGTTCGTCTCTAACAAAACTCTCCAAGAACAGGCTTCTTTACTATTGTGATGACATCATGGACTGTTGATCTGATTGGGTATTCTTCTTGAGAATATATTTCGTATTCGTTGAGTTCTGAGTCATGCAAAAAAGCATGAAGTTGGTTCCCACAGCTGCTTAAATTCTCCCTTTTAAGTGGAGGAAAGTCACTTTTAGAACTTGTTGCAATCTGTAGTATTTCAAAGCACTTTTAAAGTTTATGTAAGATACATTAAGGAGATGCCTTGTTGCTAAAATCTCATCTGTTAAACAGTGGAATGGAGCATGGAACAACTGAATCACCCCTACTGCATTTTGAACTTGTGGTTTTCTTATGCTGAAGAATTTTGAACTTCATAATTAGGCTGCAAGCTAGTCCTTTCAGTATTTTTCTACTGTATGAATATAGCTGTAGCAATTGTTGAAGTGTAGGACTGGACGTTGGAATCTCTGGGTTTTTAATTCTGGCTTCACTTTCTTTTGACTCTAAGCCTTCTGCTTTGGTTTTTCCATCTGAATGTTTTAAAGAGTTACTGCCATCTGTGCTAGATACTTAGGATATTCTTTGGGGTTTTGACACTACCAGAGAAAGCACTAATCTTTTCTTTGAGGAAAACCTTCTAAAATCTTACCTTGTTCCCTTTTCACTTTGGGTGATGGGCCTTGTATCAGGAGAGGATAGTATCTTAATGTCCTCAAAGACAGCTTTTCTCTTTCTACATCACCTGCAGTACTGTGTCGTGGAACCTGACTCCCGTTATCCCCTTTGTAGTCAAGGCCTGTTTTGTAGGAATCTTCAGCATCTCTTGGTGTAAGATGGGTCATCTTTACAGCCATTACTTTTTGTAGTACTCTAGGTAAGAATACATCGCAAAGGTGGCATCAGGACTTTCTCTCCGCTTAAGCACCTGGGCTTCTGCTGTTCCTGCTTTGCAATTAATCCACCAACAACCATTTTACTCTGTGCTAGCATGCTTCTAGGTAGGCCTTCTAATTGTCTTCTTGCCTCAGTTGGCATTGAGAGCCTGACTAACTTTGGACCAGGTCACAGCCAGTTCCTTTCATGTTGTTCTCCCTGGTCGTTAAGCTTGTCTGTCAAATACGCATCCTTGGTAAATCTGTGAGTTCTGTTTCACTGTGTCGTGATTTTCATAGTTTCTTAACTCCCTTATCCTGTCTCATCTGGCCTGTCTTGGGGGCTTGATATTGCAAGATGGTGTTTGTAAGACAGACTGCATAGGCAAACCATGCAGCTAAAGTAATTTTTATCCATCTTATTTTTACTCTTAGGCATTGCGGAATATCAATCCCAGCACAGCAAATTCTTCAAAACATCAGGTAGGCTCTTAACTGATGTTTCAGCATAACTAGAAAAATGAAAGCTTTAAATTAGGTTAGCAGGGGAACTTTTTGCTACATGAAGGCATTCTAAAAAAGAAAATTAAAAAAAAAAAAAAACCACAAAACCAAAACCAAACAAACTCTGCCATACACATTTTTGAGCCACTTCTTTGGTCATGACCCTAACATTGTTTTTAAGTGCTGCATTACCACAACTTTATATCAATATTTAAAAGCGAATGAGGAATTCATTGGACATTTTTCTGCATTGAAAACAACCTTCTTGTTTAGCATTCTTGAGGATACTTCTGTTCCAGTCCTGATGTCATCAAGATGTGTATTTAAAGCAAACCTCACATTATATCTAAGGTAGTAGTTTGTGACTTTTAAGTACGGTTCATATAAATGTTCTTATCAGTTTGTTTGAACAGGTCTGATCTTAAAAAAGGATATCTGTAATCAGTTAATAAAAAGTGACTTGAAATATTTATGACTTTTAAGCATGTACAGTTTAACAGAATTATTAGAATTATTTAATAGATTAGACTATCAAAATAATTGCTCTGGGGTTATAATACGTAATTATGCCATTTTGACATTTAACAGGCTCCTGCACAGATACATTTTCTATATAGGAAACAGCTCTGAAAAGCCTCTCAAGCTCTCAGACCAAAAGAAAATTGGTCAAAATGTGAAGCATAATAAACAGTTTAATGCAGACTTCTCTTAGGCTCTTAACAAGTTGAATATGGAATGAATCTCTGAAAGGGTGGATTTATGGCTATATTGAGAGAGCTTCATGCTTGCTGTTGCTAACAGTGCTCTTAATCACCAGCTCTTAAGATAATATTTATATTGGCTTGTATTGTACTTTGTTTTTCTAAGAAAAAAACGCTATATGCCCTAGGCAAGAAAAACAGAATAAAAGAAAGTATCCTGTGTTTGGAAGCCATAAGTACTGGTGTACTATCGCGTTCTGAAGAGTACCACAAAATTTGTATATTACTAGTTCACCTGAGAAGATCATCTTCAAAACGGGAACCTCTGACCTTAGAAACACTACTGACACCCTGGGAAAAAAACTTTCTTGTTAGTCAATATTAGTACAGCTCTAAAACTGAAGCATTTTAATTGAGATGTAATAATTTGATTTATTTACAGAGCATTAACCACATAATGATCTCGTTGATCAATATTAGATCCTATTATGGAGGAGAAAAAAATTCCTTAAGAACTGCTGGTTTACAAGGGAATAAACTGAGAAGCACACTCCTCCACATCAGTTGGAAACACCTTATCTTCTGCCACAATTAGGTCATTCAGAAGGGATATTTTTCTTACTGAATGCCAAAAGTGTATTCCTGAAGCCCTGTCATACAACTGTTCACTCTTCCACAGTAACTTCTTCCTGTTGCCAACTCAGAAATATGCAGCAAATGGAGAACTTTGGGATCAGTTTCGTACTTAATAAGATCAGATTTTTGGAACTTCTTGAAATTCTGGCTTAAAACACTAAAAAGCTGCAAAACCTCAAAGGGACTTTATTGATAATTCATTAAATGTATATGTAGTGGTCACTCTGCTTTGTTTGGGATGGCAACTGATGAAAGGATTTATGCAAAAATCAGGATTCCAGTTACATTTAAACTGACATTGTGCCAGGCTCACCTGTATGTTCACCTGCCTGGGATCAGTTTTATCAGTCTGCACTTGCTAATGGGTCAAGCTTGAGCGTTTGAGTGATTGATGGGTAGAAGAGTAGGCAATCGCGTCAGCTTAAAAGTTCTATAATACTAGAATATTCATTTTGTGTCATCTAAATGTATTTGTAGTGTTTTCGGGTGTCACTTCAGTAATGTAGTGAGCAGCCACATGTGGAAGAAGGTGCATAGAGAACTGCTCCTGGAAATTGTTCTCTAAATGCTTCTTGAGGCCTGGTACTATAGAGACAAATATTGTCTGCCTTCTCCAATGGTGCTGCTATTGAAGTCCCAGCCTGTACATCCTGTCAGGTCGTAGTCAACCTACTGAATCTGTGAAAAATCTATAGAAAGAACGAGCATTTCTTCTGTCAACTTTTTGACAGATCCTTTCTTTTCTTTGTGAATAAAATTAATGAGGTTTAGAGGAATTCTCTGCTTTCGTGATGATAAACCTGTGCTCGGGGGAAGAATAATGGCTTCTCTTGCTAAATTTTAGATGTTCTTTTAAGGAATATGGAAAATCTTCATATGTTCAGTGCTTTTAATTCCGGGAAGACTAAGACTGTTTTAGAGAAGAGTTGTCAAGGTCTTCTGTTTGTAAAGAAATTATGACACCCACATTCTTGAAGTTTGCCTCTCCTGAAGTATCTCTTTCATATGGATTAAAAAAACCTAAGAAATGTTCCTTAACTTCTAACTAGATCTCTGAGCTTTTCTTAATCACAGAATCAAATGGGTTGGAAGGGACTGATGGAGGTCAACTAGTCAAACATCCTGCATCCAGCCCAACCTACTCTTCCTCCTTGACATTTTTGTCCACGTAACCTGGATACAGTGCCATGATTGTACTGATACCTTTGGTCAGGTTTTTTTAGTACTGAGCGAACACTATGTCCTTGCCAGTTTTTGGGTCTCTGCCATGATACTGTAGTATCCTGTAGTGGCACTAACACAAAGTGTTATGTATGGAGGCCTTAGCGCTTAAATAGGTCCTGGAAAGATTAAACAATTTCTCAGCTTCATCTCTTGTAGCAAGTACTGTAAAAGACGCTTCTTGTTTGAATGAAGATGTGTTTTGTTATAATTCTAAAAATGTCCAAGTCAAAGGTATCTGAAGCAAAAATTACAACTTCCATATTTACTGTGTGTAAACAAGAGCTATTGATACATCCAGGGAATTTGAAAACACCAAGCATCTGTCTAGTTAGTTATGCTCATCATCATCAATTATCCATCTGTGAACGCCTTAAAGATGCCTACCTTAGTTAAGAGCTTGAGTGACTTGACTTTCTCTCCATCCCCAGTAGCTCTCCTTCCATTTTCCTGTAATTAGTATCTGGTTGTCAACAGTGTCTCAGTTAAAATGGATGTCAGTCAACTTTTATATAAATCATAAAATTGGCTAGATATTAGGTAACAGATTTCTTGCCTTCTGGTATACAATGGAAAGAGATAGAGGCAAATAATGTCGAGGTACTGATAGCATTATTCTTGGATGTTGTGCAGACCACTTTCTTGCGATAAGACTGGAAGATTTCTTACTTGTTTGCCACTAACGTTAAGGTATTTGCTAGTAAGATCAGCATACTACACAGCCGTTTACGTGATAGGTTCTTCTGTTTATGCTTGCTCATTCCCTATCTGCTGCTTGTTTCTAGCACTGAATGGAGATCCTTGTCTGAGAACCAGATAGACCCCTGCTTTCTTGCTACTCCGCTCAGTTGTGCTTTCCAGCTTACCTTTCCATTATCTCTGCACTGCTTTCTTGGTAGTTCCTCATACCTGGAATGTGCTCTCTAGTCATTGTCTCCATTCTTTTGTCCTTTATGTTTTATTAAGAACCTCTCATATTCTCTGTCCAGTTGCCCCAGACTTACTTCTTATCAACTTTTGACTGACATTCTGGAAATTCCCTTACTTAGTGAAAAATTGGCACAGACATACAGCCAGTCTGTCACTGTTTGCTGAATCGCGTTTTCATATTTTTTCATATTTGCTCTTACAGTGTAAAATACAAGCACTTACAGTACTGAATAATTACTGGGTTTGAAATATTATTGTAGTTTCCTATAATTCCTTTTTTTAAAAAAAAAAGAGTTCATCTTAGTTGGTGTTTGGCACCTTTCATCAGTTTATTCAAGAAGATTTCCAGTGTTCCATGAAAATCTTAATTTCTTAGGACACTACTGGTTTTCAGAAAAAGATTTTTTTCAGTCGCTTGGCATGTGCACCAATACAAAGCTGTGTTACTGTCAGATTTGTGACATTTTCTAGAAACTAAGGAAGGCATCGTTAAAAATAGTACAGTCTTGAATTCTATACTCTTGAACTTCCATGATGTTAGTGAAGCTGGAAGTTTTACTGAGGACTTAGGTTTTGGTTTATTTTGTTGGGTTTTTTCCTCTTCCATGTAATATGTCTTTAAACAACAAGGTATACTTGTGTTCAAATCTTAGTGGAAATGGTGGGCGATAGTTATTTTAGTTTCTCAGTGAATCCCAGTGTTGTCCCTTGAATCTCTTGTTTCCCATCCCTCTGTGTGTTGTCTGAAGCTGACCTAGATGAACGAGATAAATGACTTGTCTTGGTTTCATCAAGGGTGTTCGTGTTGGGGGGGTTGGTGGTGGTGTTTTCTTGGTTTTGTTCAATGGTCTGTTTTTAACAGAGATAAGGTACTGAGGCTAGCCATTTGGTCTTCGATCATGGCTTTTTTGACCAGTGAAGATATGACAGCTGGTGTACAGAAACATTTTTGAAAATGTCCTTCAAAAGATGAAGGAAGAAAATAACAAGTCACTTGCAGCAAATTGCCTTGGTTTTGCTTTATTGCTTGTTATTTGAAAGGGAAAATGGTCTGTGATACGTCTTACTCTGAAGAGATCCATTGTATGCAAAATCTTGAGGAGGGCTAGCTAAGGCACAGTGAAGAGTCTTTCCAACCAGGTTTTTTTTTTCCCATTCAAAATTTTTGCTGCTGATTGAACTTCTTTTAATTAAGTCACAAATAATACCTAAAACTTCTCATGGTAGTAGAAGTAAATATTGTATCTTTCCTTTTCTTGTGCTTTACTCACTTGATAGCTCTTTTTAAAAGTTTTTAAAGCTCTTTTTAAAGTTTTGCTTTGTCCCTCATGGTTTAAATTTTCTGTTAGATGTTTGTTTTGCACAGTGAGCAGAAATTATTACTGATTTCTTACTCTCCAAAATCAATAACAAAATACTACTGGAGAACTATCATGCAGATAAGGGAGCTGAGCAGCATATACAATACCGTAAGTAACTTGAAGATTCCAA